CCATCCAGTGCAACATAAATGGATCTGTCCTTTAGGTAACTTTCAAACCAAGTGCAAAGTTTCGGCGATAATCCCATTGCTTTGAGCTTGTTGAGCAGATTTTCATGCCAAACTTTGTCGAATGCTTTAGATATATCTAAGGCAATTGTTCTTGTTTCACCCCGCAACTCAATCGCTTTTTGCCATAAGTGAGTGACGTATGTAAGTAAATCGTCAGTTGACCTATATTTTCGAAATCCGTATTGCTTATCGTTGATAATTTTGTACTTTTCCAAGTACTTGGTTAGGTGATTGTTCACAACTCTTTCCATTACTTTTGATATCACCGGAAGTAGAGCAATTGGTCTATAGTTTAACGGATCTGTCTTTTTTCCTTTCTTTGGAATGGGTTGTACTGCGGCAGACTTCCATGATGATGGATATACTCCTTGCCTGTAAGACAAATTGAATAATTTTGCGAAAGTTGGGGTGAGTTCGTTGGCGCAATTTTTGAGTACTATTGCGGGAATGCCATCCGGACCCATTGCTTTGTTTGTATCTAGCTTTTTAAGGTATTTTCGTATTTCTCGGTGACAAAAGGGTACCTCTGGCATACTATGGGAAACCCTTTCAATGAACGGTGGAGTTTTTCCGTTTGGCACTGTTAGGTTGGAGTTGGAGGAAAACATTTGGGCCAGCATATTGGCTTTTTCCTCTGATGTTGTGGCTAAGTGATTATTTTTATCTGTAAGTGGTGGTATGGATGACTTGGTGAAGTTGGATCCAACAGCTTTTGCAAGAGACCAAAAGGACCTAGAACTACTTGGACAATTCAGCAACCTGTTTTTTATTCTTTGATTGTATGTTTCTTTAGCGGAGTCAATAGTAATTTTGCAACTATTTCTGGCTTCTTTAAATTCTGTGTGGTTTTGAGCGGTTTGTTTTCGTTTCCAAAGGTTATAATATGCTCTGTGTTTTTTCTGTACAGCCGTTTGACACTGGCTGTTGAACCAAGGTTTTGCATTAGCTCTACGTTTAGTTGTATGTGGGATATATGCATCCATTCCAGATAAGATTACTTGTGTTATTTCATTACAGCAAATAGTGGGATCAGCTGTTTTAAAGCAAACCTCTTGCCATGGAAAATTCAGGTAAAACTGTTTTAGGTCATTTACTTTATTAGTTTTCCAGAAATAAATTGAAATGGAAGAGGATGAGTTTTCCTTATAATTTTACTTGAAAAAGTCAATCTCCCAGAATTTTTCCTGGAGTGATTTTTCACTGGAAAATTTTGAAATTTCCCTATAATGAGCTCCCCACTTTTCTCTTTCTTCTGGAAAAATTTCACAATTTTTCCTTTGCCAGAATTCTAGAAAAAAATTTAAATGTAAGAGGGTGAATTCTCCATAACTTGCTTAAAAAAATTAGTTTTTCAAAATTTTTCCTGGAGTGATTTTTTACTGTAAAATTTTAAAATTTTCGTAAAATGAGCTCCTCATTTTCCTCTTATTCCTGGAATATTTTCAAAATTTTCCCTTTGCAAGTTTTCCAGAAAAAAATTGAAATGTAAGAGGGTGAATTTTCCTTGAATAATTTACATATTTGGGACTCCAATGATTTTTTAAGGGCCGGTATTTCAATGTCACCTTAAGATATAGAATGAACGTAGACATTGACAACATTGTCTGACCTTGTTCGATGACGTCATCCTAAATATAACATAAAAACCCTATATTTTAGCGTAAGTCTTGATTTTAAGGTAATATTGTAATACCGGCCCCGGTTGAAAATTTTTATTCCATAACAATAATAATTGCGAACGTGCTCTATGAATTAATCAACGACAAATACTTTTTTCTAAATTATGACGTCATCGATGACATAAGTAAGTACAAAAAGTGCAAAAAAAATAAAATAATTTGGTTGCACTAATTTTTTATATAAGTGTTAGGTAGTGCTATGGTGGGATGCCGAATGGGAGTGCTAATTTTTGCTTTAGGGGTGCTTAGCACCATAGTTGCGCCTATGACAACAATATACTATTAGGCTCCATGGAGGGCCTTAATACTTAATAAACAATTCTCTAAATAGAAATGCATTTTTTCATAGAAAATTTTACTACCAAATTCGTAGGTACTCAAAATAAGTTTTCCATTTAAGTATAGTTTCCAAAAGACTTATTATGATGCCTTGAAATGACTCCAGTTTCCTTTTAATGTAATTTCTTCAAAAACCATGTCTCGTAAATCTATATTTTATTGAAAGCACTCTTGTTTGTGTACAACTAGTAGCAATTTTAGCAATGTCTTACCAGGCATATTATCGATGCGGCTAATCATGGTCTGTCACCGTTAACATGTACAGTTATAACAAAACGTTTCTCTCAATATAGACAGCTTCTTTTCCTTATTTTATTGCAACAAAATTTAAGCGTAAGTATAACAATTCTAAGACCCAAATATTCGATGTTGCATCAACAAATTTGTTTGCATAATACATCCTTTTCCTGACAAGTAACTTCCTTACTTTTTGATAAAGAAACCTCATTGTTTTGGCATATTGCCTTCTTTTTGGTCTGCTTTAATAGAATATTGGCTTCCTTTGGGGCCGTACAACGTTACAAATCCGACAGAGAATATTTTCTAGATAAACAATCTATATTTATTGAAATATACAGTAGCCAGACGGAAAAAATGCATCCTATAAATGGAGAATAAGGGTTATCTAACATTCGCGAGGCGCCAAAGACTTATTAT